GGGGTCGCTACAATGTACTCTGGAGAAAGGACATGGATACAGCCGTGACTGTACATGTGGGTCGCTACAATGTACTCTGGAGAAAGGACATGGATACAGCCGTGACTGTGCTACCCGATAATAGAAACAGGATAACAATCTAAGTAGAAACATCTAGGACTCATATATGCTGCATGGCTGTTGGGAACAACACTTCAGAATGTAACAAACCCATAGATAATCTACGAGAATTTCTAGACAAATACCAAACGACCAACACCTCGAAGATACTTCTGTATGTGGTCATATGAACGCATCACTCTAGAAATATATATCTTAAGGAGAGATCGTAAATTAATATGAACAGACTTCACAGCAAAACTTCGAAGAGAAAAGCAAACTTAACAACCATGAAAGGAAATTCGATTTTCAGGTCAACCACGTCCTCTCAAAGACGAGAATATGACCCACAAAGAGATGAACTCCACCGAGATATCATCAAAACCTCATCAAGGGACTCTTGGCTTTAACACAAACGTGTGAACAGACGAAGAAGAAAACACCACAACATATATATTTCATGTCAACGGCAAAGACTACACACAACCAAACATATACTACAATATTGGCAATAATGTTACAGACGACCAAAACTATACACGGTTCCACTTTCTACAAATTAGGAACGAATTCATCAACGGAAATGAGGAAAAGTTGATCCAAGGGGAATACAGCAACTTTAAGAGAGGGATTCAGAATACCGTAAACAATCTGAACGTTGAGGAAGCACCAGATATGAAAGGGATCAAAGCAGAACATCTGAAACATTAGACATATCCTTAACATAAACATCTAGAAGAAAAAACATAATACCAGACATTAAGAAGGCAAGAGAGAAAAATATTCCGTGAAATTTCATATGAATCATTGTGGTCAAGGTCCTTTCAAAAGTCATGCAAGCTAGTATCAAGAAGAATATTGTCTTTTTACTAGGCAAAAATCTCCCAATAAGGCGGTTTCACTCCCGGAATATTTCATCTCAAATGTAGCCCTGGTAATGTCAAATGCGAAAGACGATGACAACAGAATCTCGACCTCGCAACTCTTTGTCTGATAAACTTTTAAAGTGTAACCGTGATATTCTGTTCTACAAAATCTGTAATATAGGAAACATGAACCAATGGACACTTATGGATTCTACTCAGAAACATGTAACGATATTCAAAACAGTCACAATAAAGTGTCAGAATGATATCTCAGGAGAGTTAATCATTAGACTGGGTACTAAACAGTATAAAACCCTGTACAAGACTTTCAATAGCACTACATCAACTCCCATATGGGCGCATATATAAGGGAGACAAATCATCATCAATCTGAACGACCAACATGAAATTCAAGCCCTGCTAGATTCGATAAACTACCATTGTGAAGAAGAAACTGCAGGATACTCCAACATCGAACCATTAACAGAAATGAAACGTCTAGGAACCATTCGAAACAAGAAAAAACAAGATATGCATCGATGAACGCATAGAAACTGAGCATCAAGTATGCCCTACTTGGTGCTGGTTTGTATTCCTAGATTGAACTAAACCTCTTCTCATGCTAAACCGATCATACGCTGTTCTTAAGGCAATACATAGCGTAGAAAGATGCGTCTCATGAAATCTGAAAAAGACAAACTAGAAGAAAAAAGGTCGGACAAAAGATTCTAATTCATCTGAAAGGACTTTACCGCAACTAATGCACATTTCTTGTTTCTTCTAACTCAGCCCATCCCCATAACTACAGATAAGGATACACTGACCTTCTTCTGGGGAAAAAAATTAAAGGATCTCTGTATATTTCAGTACACTTCAGAGTACTCATCATGAAAGGGACAAACAACACAAATTGCCATGAAGGTAACAGATCGCTTCATTAAGTATGACCTTGCACCATAATGGACAATAATAGGAAATACACCAGCAAAACAGGAGTGAAGATGCTTTACGACAGCAATAATCACATCCTGGGTAGCGAAATGTACCGAGAAAACAAAAGCTCGCAAAGGTCTTAGATATCTGGGCCCAGTTCTTCAAAAGTTAATAAGCTTAATCACTGTTTAATAACATTTTTGAACCCCTAATAATTCGGTCAAAATACTAAATGAAATCTCATAACTTTGCATGTAATTTTACTATATTAAAATATTTATTACCTGGAAAGTTTTAACTAAATAAATGATTGTATTTTAAAGGTAAACAAAAATAAAATAATGCGCTTATTACTGATTAAGCCGCAAATGCTGACACTTATATGAGTTTAGATTGCACAAAGCAATTGAACTGATGAATTATATATAACAGTAATATAAAGGTAAAATGTAGATATTCAAGATATTGCCACAAATCCACCCATTTTAACCACGCCCGCGAGGCGTTTGCAATGCAACAGAAATCTACCAAAGGGCCAGAAAGAGCGCGCTATCCATACTCCAACATTTACTTAATGTATATACAATTAAATCGTCAGAATGCCATGTAACAGGCCTTACTCAATCCCCGTCATCTTTACACGCTTCTTTGTTTTGTAAGCTTCCACTTATGCGTGGTACTTATTTGCCGACACGTTCACAAGAGGTTAACATGCGACCCGACTATCCAGTTTTCACGTTTTGTTGTTTTTACACTTTATGATGAAAGTCAGGTCTAAAATCTTTATTAACGAAAGGTTCCTTACTTCACAGGCTAGAGAAAAATATCCAAACTAAACAAAATACATATTTATTGCATTTTCACCATTTTGCGTCCGTTTATATGGCTTTAAGCTAATAACCTTTAGAACAACTGGGCACTGAAGGTCCAATCTCCAAGTGCAGAGTATAAGGCATTCTATTGTGACTACGATTAGACTTCCGCTACAGTAGAATTATGTTTGGTGTATTTTTTTAAATAAGTAATATACTAATACATAAAAAAGTCAATCATCTACTTTGCTTTTGCAGATCAAAACAACTTCCTATTTGGAATTTTTATTTCAGAAATGGATTCTTACATCAACATTCAGTGACGGACTACATTATATCTTCAATTTAAACGTAGAATTTACACAAGACCCCGTATATATAATGCCTTATGGTGAACTTACACAAGCTCCAGATATTATTAGGATTTTATATTGTTTTATTTTATTTCATTGGATGATATGAGTTGGTCTTGATACTGGTAAAAATTCAAGATGAACAACCTCGAAGTTCATTAAATTTGTCTCAAGACCAACTGAAGTCATCGCCCCATGATACTGTACCAACGGAAGTCATCGCCCCATGATACTGTACCACCAGAAGTCATCGCCCCATGATACTGTACCAACGGAAGTCATCGCCCCATGATACTGTACCAACGGAAGTCATCGCCCCATGATACTGTACCAACGGAAGTAGATTCAATCCTGAACTGTAATCGAATGTAACGTACATCTAAATATATTCTGTGCAACGTGAATATACTAGTACCACCAAGCCGATTCTCCGAATTTTGATTAACCTGAGGTGTCCATGTTTGACAGTCTTGATTGATGATATGTGGGAACGGATACGTACGGCAGCACGCACGGTCCAGACGTTTAGAAGGGGGACTAGAATTAAACGTAGATCTGTCATGTCATCGCGTATCAAGCACGCTCCAATATTTGATGATGGAGATTTAACATTTGCATGTTAAAGTTTAATACTATTCCACTTGAGATGAAACGACACTTTATATCTTTGCATTATTGGGAGAGTCCATGTACGTGCATGTATTATTCTCCAACAGACCAATGCCCTTCCAAACACCTCTCCTGCAAATGCAATCAAGAGAGCTGCGGGAGTGGTTTCCCTTGTCCAATTGTTCTACTTTAAACCTGTAAAGCTCACGGTCAGAACTAACCGAGAAGGTGATTAGAAAAAGTGTTTGCAAACTTGTCAAATGCTGATTTCATTTGTTTACGAGCGATGTCGATAGATTGGTAGTTTTGATTGACTCAAGTAAACATTTGGTTAAAAACATGACGTCATTGTTATTTGTTTATAGTCTGTCGACCAAGCTGACTGCAAATAAAAAACACAAATTTTCCAAATGTATCACACAGGATCAGAAACGATAAAAACGCGCAGTTTGCGAAACGACAACATATAGACATCATGTGACAAATGTTAGCGCGCACAAAAGAGCAGTCTAATTTGAATAATCAGATATGAAGGCTTATGGACAGGACACTGGCGTAGACGCAAAGAAAGACTTCCACTATATTTTATTTGGTAGACCAATTATGATCTATGTATAAAACCGGGATTCGAAAATGTTGCAGAAATAATCAACTCAGACTGCAAGCGGTCTTCGTTAATTAGTTTTCCATCATTTTTTCACCCTCATGAAATGTTTCATAATAATGCACGCACATCCGTTGATAAATATTACCAGGTTAATGAACACCTATGCGTATTATATTTCAACATATGTATTCATGCAAAATATCCAACTTTCCCTACTGAACTATTGTGAAGTCGAAATTCTTAAATTGTTTCTGACAGAAGAGTCTAGATTTACCAATTTTATATTGAAAAGAAAACACATTTTGATTCTTTCGTTTGAATGCGTACAGAAAATGAGTTTTTGATTAACTGAATTTCGGATTTATGAGATTCAAATGTATTTATTTAAAGGTATCAATGTTGATGTTAAATGATAGGTCATTCGTTCATCAAATCACACAAGATTTCCTCCGCCTGTCTTTGTATTCTCTCAGTCCTGGTCTGCTCTGTCGGTCTTCCGTACCTAGTACTCGTGTGTACAAGGCAGTGAAACTAAATCACTGTCCATCGAACAGCTAACAAGCATGCCGCTACTTTCCATGAGAAGTTTCAAGGGAAATACCCGGATACTTCTGGTTGTGATATTTGTGCTTAGCTGGGCGTCTAGACTGCTCTGGCTAACAATACCGACCAGGCCGCGGTCGAATTATAATGGGAGTGTGTTTCCAAAAACATCACTGAGAGATCTCTCTTCTCAGAAATATGTTGTAATTTCCACAAGCAGTAAAAAGTACATAGACGGTGAGTCAGAGGCATTCAATGATGCAAAGATATGGCAGAGCAAGTTAAATGAACATGAATCTATAAAGACCAAATTTGGCATCCCGCGAAATAACTTCTCCGACATAATAAAGGATTTTAACATCTCGTTGTATAAAGATATCGATCCAAATCGTTTCTTTCTCAACGTCACAAAAACTCACGAGACATCGGTCAATCGCAATGTACCGGATACACGTCCTCCCGAGTGCGCCTCAGTAAAATTTGATATTTTGTCACTTCCAGTGGCGTCCATTGTGATACCGCTACATAACGAGCTGTGGTCTACATTCGAGAGACTTATCAATAGCGTTCTGAAGAATTCGCCCAAAGTGCTCGTACACGAAATCATCATCATAGACGACTTGAGTGACCTAGAACATTTGAAAGCCCCGCTGGACAAGTATGTGGAACAGTTCGACTTCATGCGAATACACAGAGCGCAAAAACGACTTGGGACGATGGGATCAAGGGTTGTGGGTACTAAAATGGCCAAAGGGGATGTGGTTGTTTTCCTGGACTCTCACGATGAAGTTAATGTTGGATGGTTAGAACCTTTGTTGCACGAATTAAGCAAAAACGGTACGGCCATTGTTCAGCCATCCATTGACACAGTTGACGCACAAACCTTCGAATACTTAAAGTTCTTCCAAAACAACTTCAGGGGACATTTTAAATGGAGTATGGCGTTTAGTTTCGTTCCGATACCGCCAAAGCAAATGGCAGAGATCAAAGCACAACCGACAAAAGCATTCGACACCCCTGCAATTGTAGGCTGCGCTTTTGCAGTTAACCGGGAATACTTTCAAGACATCGGAGGACTGGATACAGGTATGCGCACGTGGGGCGGAGAGGACGTAGAACTCTCTATTAGAGTGTGGCTCTGTGGCGGAAGTATGAAAATTTCGCCATGCTCTCACGTTGCCCATATTTTCAAAAAAGGACATCCGTTCAAAATGGATTACTCTGATCTCGTTTACAACAACAGGCGGACAGCTGAGATGTGGCTCGGTGATTATAGGAAATATTTTTATTACTTCAATGCTGGATTTGCCAAACCCCCAGAGCCATCAGATAAATTCGATATTATGGACACAGTCAAAAAGACGTTTAAATGTAAAGACTTCCGGTGGCTTCTTGAAAACGTTTACCCGGAACTAGAAGTTCCACCCGAGGGAACTACTTATTTTGGAAATTTACGCAACGATGGTTCCGGAAAATGTTTTGGCACTGCAGATTCTGTCGTTCTAAGATCATATCCTTTACTGGTTTCGGCCGAATGTTCTCTTTACTACAAGGCTAGAAATTTTGCTTTGCTTGAAAACGGTCACTTAATGATGAATGGAAAATGTATCAAAGTCAAAAATGACTTCCTGATAGTGGCACCGTGCAGTGTCGGGATGGGTAAGTGGAAATTGGAAGGAAAACTACTCAAGTACGCTGACGGCGTTCATTCAAAATGTGCCATGCAAGTGTCCAAGAACGTGAACTCTGAGATGATACAGGTCATTAAATTAATTTCGTGTAACAATATCAACAAAACATCTGAGTGGGAAATTGGGCAGAAACTGTTCAAAAGTTAAAATTCACAAAATGCTTAAAAAATATTAATATTTCTACACATAGTATTGAGAGTGCTGGTTCGACGAGATGATTTTTCTAGATAATGTATCTGGTTATTTTCTCACATTGTATTTTCGTTTCCATTGTCAACTCAACGTATGTTTCCTGTGCTTATCAGTTAAGTCTCCGGATGAAATGCGATGAAATCAGTTTTCTGCATCCGAAAAATTGTGTGTGAATAAATAATAACAATTCGCATGGAAATGTTTTAATTGTGCTTGCAACAGCCATATTAACATGTGATTATATAAAGTTTATTTCCATTTAACAAGTTTTCAGCTAGTTATGTTGACTTTGTCGGAAGTATATGATACCTTACGTGTTTCTGAACAATTTTTGAAAGAGTTTTACGCCTAATACAGGTAATATGATGCCTCAATATAATTGGGCCACAACCACACATAGAGGTTCCTCAACGAGTGATGGTTGGTTATCATGTCTGATAATCATCTAAATTGCATAAAGAAACGATGTTTACCGAGTTTCTTTTACTATCGAAAAATTAACAAACGAAAAAGCTAGATAAACTTGATAATCAACCTTTACTATTTTGGGGATCGCAATGATCTGTTCAAATTGTTCTGAATTTTACACTGGAAAAACTAGTGACCATCTTAGATTTTTAACTGTTAATAAGCATATGCATTCTTCTGCAAATGTTCTGCAAGTTCCATGTATTTCCCATATATCAAGCTACACTGTACAACGAGAGACAATGTTAATCGATATATGAAAACCTGGTTTAAATTGTTCTAACAGCACAGACGTTGCATGAATAAATAAAGAAAATGTATGTTGTTCCTCAAATGTTGGCGTTAAAGTGCATTGTTAATTTTGGCGTCCTGTGTTGTGTTGTTGTCCTGTCAACATAAATAAACAGTTCCCCTGATGAACTTCTAAAGAGGTGAAAGCGCTAGGGAGGTACTAAGAAACTCTTGTCATTTGTTTTTTTTATATAATTTATATATAATAAAAACGGATTAAATGTCCATGTGAAGTAGGTAATTATAAAAAATAAGAGCTAACGACCGACTAAAAACAAGCTGCTTTCACCCTTCACATGGCTCTTCAGGTTTATTTCAAGCCTATAAATATAAGTAGTTATAGTAGTGTACGTCAAATGAAGGTCTCTATATACCACACATTACCTAGCTAGTGTGCAAGTACACGATGCCTTATATATAATATATTATCTGAAGTGTGTTAGTACATAAAAACATGTACTATATAACTCCTCGCAATATGCACAGCGAATCTTTAGGTCCCTCGGGATACACGATTCTTTGGGTCCCTCGGGATACACGATTCTTTGGGTCCCTCGGGATACATCCGCTGTGAATTCTTGAATTTTCAGCATGCATTATATTTTGGGTTCAATGATTCACAGGTTACGTTCTGCTTGGCATTTCAGTTTAACCACATACATCATCTATTGACTTCCGGGTTCCACATCATAAAACTCTTAGACTGCCGCAGGGCCTGTACGAAATAGAGAAAATGACTCACCGGTTATATGTGCACGTTCAATTGAACAATATCACAACTCTTTTAAAAATATGTTTTCGAAATCAAAGACTTCCGCCCTCGATTTTGTACTGGGCGTTTAACCCTTGGATTTCGAAATTGCAGGAAATATGGAGCATCATAAATGATTGTGTACAACAGATTGTACACACATTCTAATTCGTTGTCATACACGAAAATTGATGCAAAGGTCGGCAAACAGCACATCTCTTGATTCGATGCTAAGTATATATTTGAATCCGAACGCGCCCCTTGTTACGTTACTAATAATGCACTGGAACCTTTTTCCAATCTGACTTTAGACTTGGTTTATCATTTCTGCGAAGTGAAAGAGACATGCCTTATGGAACTGTTATGAAAAAAGAGATGAAATACAAGGGAAACAAATGAAAC